ACAGGCTCCTCCATCACTTTCGTGGCATTTAGAAATCAAGTCTCCCCAGATGTGGTGGCTCATGCTTGTAATCCCAGCACTTTGGGAGGCTAAAGCAGGTGGATCACAAGGTCAGGAGATCGAGACCATCCTAGTCAGCACAGTGAAACCCTGTCTCTACTAAAAATACAAAAATTAGCCAAGCATGGTGGTGGGTGCCTGTAATCCCAGCTACTCGGGAGGCTGAGGCAGGAGAATCGCTTGAACCTGGGAGGTGGAGGTTGCAGTATGCCGAGATTGTGCCACTGCACTCCAGCCTGGGGACAGAGCAAGACACTGTCTTTAAAAAAAAAAAAGAAAATTAGAAATCAGATCTCTAGAAACAAAAAAGAATAGTTGAGATTTTCCTTGCTCTGAAAACACGTGTGTATTCTGGTCCTGAAGAACAGTCCCTAGCAATATGTCTAGTTTTGTGTTAATGTTATTCATGCCAAAGTGACCCAACATGATGTCCCACTGAAATGTCAACAATCCAGATCTCCACCAGGGTCTTTGTGGTGCTGTGTTCTTTTCATCCACATTTGCCACTGGAAACTGTGGATCTGTTTTCCTTTGCAGATTCTCAGGGAGGACCTGGTATTGATTCTATCAAGATAGGACAAAGATTATTTCAAGAAAAAGATTATACATTATAATGCTTAGCATTTATATAGGTTCTTTTGATTTCAAAATGAGTTATAAATATTTCCTACCATGACAACATCCTTGCGAGGTAGGTGAGGACTGCCGTCTACGTTACCAAGAGAAGCCCAAGGCCAAGAACTGAGGAACTCTGCTTTGAGTCACAGAGTCAGGAACGACATTGGAACTGGAACTTCCAGCCACCTGCCCTGGGTTCTGAAGAGGCCATGCCTCTCCCTCATGTAGCAGTGGTTTCCATGAATACAGGGGTATATATTGTATAGATATAAAACAACAACACACAATTATGTTATAGAACAATAATTCAATATTTCTGTTTCTTAGTAAAATATGTTAAGCACAGTTATTTAAATTGCATTTCTCTGAAAAGCATTTGGTATATTAAATAGCAGGTATATTAAATAGCTCTATAAATGTTTGCTGGCATACTCTCAACAGCATAATGATTCTAAGGAAATTAAAATCCACTGGCGCATAGAGATCATTCCTTTATAATACCATAAACTAAACAAGAATGTGAAAAACTACTTTATTCTCAAAATGCAGACTTGATAACTTGCTGGATATTAGCAGGTGGCTACATAATTTTTCTGAGCTCGAGAGAAAGGATACATATTGCTGACTGTGGTTCTTTTAAAATACCAATTGGGTAGGGAAAAAGAGATGCGGTTGAAAGGTGAAAATGAAAGACTGCTATCTCCACTTTGTGTCCGTTCTGAGAAATTCGTATGTTTTCAAAAGATATTATCAGAGTTAGAAGTAATGTTGAGGTGAATACAGAAAATGCTGTATAATGGGAACATTTTGTGGGAAGAGAAAATGATATCAAATACAACCTTTGGTGTAAGAAGAAAGGAAGGCCGAAAAGGATCTTTTTCAAGGGCGTTGAAGGCTGGCATGAGATATAAGCTGTTCGTGCTTAGCTGACTGCATAGGTCTTGGAGATGATTTGCAAGGATAAACACTTGGTTTTATCAATCTCTTCCCCAAGGCAAAATCCTCATCTTCCTCTCTAAATCAGCAGTTCTCAGAATGGTGTTAAAGAGCTCACCTCATGCTAAGCTTCCTAGCAACTGACCAGGTGGGTCAGCAGAAAAAGTTCTAAAACTAGAAAGGAACAGGAATCAAAGTCTTAAAATTGGTATGCAAACGTAAAAACTAACTTCTACGCCAGAATGACATTCTCTGTCAGAGGTAATAAATACAAAAGTCTTAATTTTAGTGTACACGACGCTAAGATAGTGTTAGATAGGTATTGTGTGTCATTCAGAGAATATTTTTATAAGTGTGCTTTTTCCCTAAAAAAAAAGACATATTAAAGTGTTTTCTCTCCTCAAGTCCTTTATGTATAAATAAGAAATGCCGACCTGCCACATCAGTTTGTTCGTTCCCGTTATACGCTCCAGGCCTCCTTCCCTCCTGCATTGTCTGTGGCAGTTTTGTTGGAGGGAGCTTTGCGTTTGAGCAGGCTGGAGCAGTTCGGCTGCTTGGTTGGCTGTAAGGTTTTGGCGTATGGTGAATACCAGTCCCTTTCAAACACGTCTTTAAGTTGCTTAATGATGCTTCTGTTGTTCCTCACATCTGCCTGGTTGATAACAAGGCCCGTGCCAGCATTCTGGGTGAAATCATTCCCTACCCAGTCAAAATTTCCTGCAAACAAAGAAATAACGTTGAAGAGTTAGAGTCCACTGGGAATATACCCAATATAATGAAATTCAGAGTGGAGTCTATTAAAAACCATCAACACCCAGGAATAACAACGGAGAGGGTGAATTGTGTTGACAGCTCCGAAAAAAAAATTCCAAGAAGGCTTACATATGGCATATTAATATTTACATATTATTTTGGCATTTTCTTCAGCTTTGCTCCAGTGGAAACTCAAAACAAGGAATCTGCTGTTCTTTCTCGTAAATGTTATTTCTTATTGACATGCTAAATACAGCAACATTTAAAACATAGGGATACATTTAAAAATCCTGTGAGTAATTACTACCTTCTCAAAAAGACAACATCTAATCCATGAGAACAAATGAGGGATTCTAATTATAAGGCCCTGAAGCTTTCACATCAAAGAAAAAGTGAAAGCTAGAGAAAGAAACTCAGTTCCTAACAAATACTCCTTGATTGGGCTGTAAATCATTTCCCAGACCCAGGATCCGGCCCCTTGGCCCAGGAAGCGGGGCAGGTGCTGTGAAAACAGGCTGAGTATGACTGCCCTGCGTTAGGTGGTGCATTCATGTTTTTTCAGCTGCCATAGCAAAGTCCCACAAATTGGGTGGCTGGAACTACAGAAATGTATTGTCTCACAGTTCTGGAGACAAAGTCCAGGTGTTGGGAGGGTTGATGTTGATGCCTTCTGAGGACCGCAAGGAAGGGATCCTCTCCAGGCCTTTCTCCTTGGCTTGCAGATGGGCATTTTCTCTGTGACATTTTCTATTTTCTTTTTCTTTCTTTCTTTACTTTATTGGTTCTTCTCATTTTAAAATTTATTTTATTTTATTTTATTTTTGAGACAGAGTCTTGTTCTCTTGCCAGGCTGGAGTGCAGTGGCGCGATCTCGGCTCACTGCAACCTCCACCTCCTGGGTTCAAGCGATTCTCCTGTCACAGCCTCCCGAGTAGCTGGGATTACAGGTGTGCCACCACACCCGGCTAATTTTTTGTATTTTTAGTAGATGCAGGGTTTGACCATGTTGGCCAGAATGGTCTTGATTTCTTGACCTTGTGATCCACCTGTCTTGGCCTCCCAAAGTGCTGGGATTGCAGGTGTGAGCCACAGTGCCCAGGGCCCCCCCCCCCTTTTTTTTTTTTTTAACAGTTTTAAATAGAGATGGGGTCTTGCTATGTTGCTTAGGCTGCTCTCGAACTCCTGGGTTCAAGCGGTCCTCCCACCTCAGCCTCCCAACATGCTGGGATTCCAGGGGTGAGCCACCGTGCCCAACCCCTCCATGACATTTTCTGCGTCTCCTCATGTTGTCTTCTTCTATGCATGTCTCTGTCCAAATTTCCCCTTTTTACAAGGACATTGGCCATATTAGATTAGGGGCCACACTAATGACCTCATTTTAACTTGGCTATTTCTCTAAAGATCCTGTCTCTAAATGGAGTTACATTCTGAGGTACTGGGAGCTAGGACTTCAAATATGAATTTTGGAGGGACACGATTCAGCTCATTTAAAGGAGTAAGTCTGGGATCTGCCCCAGAAAAGACTAATAATGTCTATGCCACTCCCGTGCGGTCCATCTTCAAGGTGTAGGGGAAGCGGTCGCCTAGGAGAGCCAGAGTAATGCCATTTCAGCTCCATCTTGAGACTAACAAGGCATATTCCTTGCCAGTCACAACCATGGTCATAAGATGTTTACAACTGAGAAAGCAGCCTAATGATATCCCAAAGGCTACTCTCCTGCAGCAGATGTCCCAATACCCATAACAGTACCTGCTTTCAAGGTAGTTCTAGTTATGCTTCAATGTACGTACACGCTGGAATGTCATTTCACACGAGAATGTTTCCTTCAAACCAACAGAATAATAAATTGGCTCATGCTGTCAGCTCACTCACACATAGACACAGCCTAGCTTAGCTTTTACATAGATAAGACCCCTACACGAGAAAAACAAACACACCACATTCCTCCACTTGCTTTCTGGGAACGCCCTACTCTATAACTGAGTAGTTTTCCTTCCTTCTTTTCTCTCCCTTCCTTCCTTCTTCCCTCCCTCCCACCCTCCCACTTTCTTTTTCTTTCTTTCTTGAGACAATCTTGCCCTGCCGCTCGGCTCGCTGCAACCTCCGCCTCCCAGGTTCAAGCAATTCTCCTGCCTCAGCCTCCCGAGTAGCTGGGGTTACAGGTGCCCACCACCACACCCTACTACTTTTTTGTATTTTTAGTAGAAATGGGGTTTCATCACGTTGGCCAGGCTGGTCTCAAACTCCTGACCTCAAGTGATCCACCCGTCTCAGCCTCCCAAAGCACTGGGATTACAGGAGTGAGCCACTGCGCCAGGCCTGATTTATTTATTTTTAGAGGCAGAATCTCTCTCTTGCCCGGGCTAGAGTGCAGGGGCCTGATCATAGTTCATTGCAGCCTTGAACTCTTGGGCTCAAGCAATCCTCCCACCTCAGCCTCCTAAGTAGCTGTGACTACAGGTGCAAGCCACCGGAACCAGCTTCTACTTGGTATTTATATATATTATCTATATGGTTGGTGGGACTTACTTCCACTTCACAGCTGAGGACTGGGAGGCTCAAAGAGGTGAATAAATTTGCCGAATCAGTGGCTAATCAATGGTGCACCCAGTTCTGCCAGACTGTATGATAAACCAGAATTATTCTCACTAAAAAATATCTAGCCATGTCAAGACGGACAAAATTGTTTTCGAAATTACCACCAAGCCGGATCTGATCTAAGCTCCCAGTTTTGTTCTCCTCTTTGGATAAGAGCTGATTCCATAAAGGGAACTGACAGGTTTTAGGTATAGAGAATGATCTTCCATGTCCTCTGCAGCAACTCAGGTATCGCTGCAGAAATCACTAAGAAGCTGAGATCATCCGTCTCCTTGGCATCCCTGGCCCAAGGGCCTGCAGCCATCTGTGGGAGAAGCTGCTGGAAGAAAGCACATCTATGGAGAGAGCCAGTCTCTGTTCCTTTGTAGCTTCCATCTTTTGATCCCTGCTCTGTTTGCTGGAACCCTCAAACATGTCAATTCCCTTTTCCATTTGGCATCCCAGGGAATATCAGAAGGTGGTTTCTCATCTCTCATTTTACTCAAGTTTATTCCTCAGAGCCTAAGAACACCAGGTCCCTAAATCAAATATCAGCACAGAGAGGGACCTGCTCCCTTTTGCTTTCTCTCTCTCCCCTCATCCCAACCGATTATCTGTCCCCCTCAAGAAAGAGCACAATGGCAAATGGTACTCTCAGTGGCTTCATGATAGAGTAGCTTTGAATGATTTTTTTTTTTTTTGAGCCAGAGTTTTGCTCTTGTTGCCCAGGCTGGAGTGCAGTGGCTATTCACAAGCTTGATTACACCACTGATGAGCACAGGAGTTTTGACCTGCTCCACTTCCGACCTGGGCCGGTTCACCCCTTCTTAGGCAACCTGGTGGTCTCCCGCTCCCAGGAGGTCACCGTATTGATGCTGAACTTAGTGCAGACACCCGATCGGCATAGCGCACTGCAGCCCAGAACTCCTGGGCTCAAGCGATCCTCCCACCTCAGCCTCCCGAGTAGCTGGGACTACAGGCACGCACCACCGCCCCCCAGCAGTAGTTACTATTATTAGCCCCATCTTACAGATGAGAAAACTGAGGTTTGAAGAGCTCAAGTAAATTGTACAAAGCCAGACATTTGGGAGACGGCAGGGATGGGACAACGGGCTGGGCACTGACCCACTCCACTGTCTGCCTGCCCACCACGCAGGTCAGGCTGTCTTGCGGTGCTGTGGGCAGGGGAATGACACTGTGCTTGCTGCAGTATGGGACACATCTTTGATGAGCCATTCCCACCCTTGCCTGTACAATGTGGCAAATGGGCCAGAAAATTTCTACAAAACATTTATGGAAAGGCATCTTATGTATCTCCTAGTACACAAATCAGGCCATGGAAGAGATATTCGAATGATGAGCTCCCTGTCCTCACCGTCCCGTTTCCTGACCTCCAGTTCCCCCCATTCACCAGCAGTGGTTCCCAAGGCCTTGCTTCCTTGACAGGGGGTACCGCGGAGCGCAGCTGGACTGCCACTGCCTGGGTGACCTGTCCTAAGGAGCCTCACAGCCCTGACACCTACCAATATAAGCTGCTCCATCTGTCACCATGTACTTGTTGCGATTTAACCTAGGAAAGGTGTGGTTCTTTTGTTCTTTTGTGGCACAAGCATTTTCTCTTTCCAGATCAAAAAATTTCTGTAAGACAAAAAAGAAACAAAAAAAGCAGGTAAATCAGGAACATTTCTGATCTTGTCCAAGAGCACAAAAGAATGTATTATCCACAGATCAACAATAGACCTCACATTGGGTTACTAAAGCCATAATCTTATTACCTCATATGGATGAGGCTATTTTTGTTCTCAAATCTATATAGGCAACAAGAGAAAATTAGCATGCTCAACTAGGTCTATAATTAACACTTTTAAGCTACAAAATGAACACAAAATTCATTTCCTTTTTCAGCAGGATGAGGGCCAGAAGCTTGTTTAATTCTCATTGTCTTATTCAGCAGGGTGTGCTGGCATTTGAAGCATGCCTCAGGGTGCTCCCTGTCAAGCATGCCAATGAACTGAATGAGTATTCTCACATGTTGCATGCATTATGTCAATGACTAGCTGATTAAACTGGGGATTTGCAAAGGTCAAAAGAGATTCTGCCACAGGAACAAATACTTTTCCATCTAAACACCTAAGTCTAGGAGCTCTTTTGATAGGCCAATCAAAAATAAAAAAATCACAACTTCAAACCCTGAGTTCTGAATTTCAACATTTATTGACCCAAAAGGCAACATTCCAGTTCACCTAAGGCCAGAAATGGGGCAGCTAAAAGAAGAGGGATGACTGCAGGTACAGCCAGGCTATGCCTCAGGGGCCTGCTGATTTGCTAAATTCTCAGACGAGGCTTAAACTGTGGCTAAGCTCATGGAACTGCATGACTGAGCTCACTGGAAGACGTTAGTCTAAGGTGAAAACCTCGGGTATCCCCTACCCTGGAAAATGCTGAGCATTTTCAGAACTGTGGAACCTTTTGGAATGTCTTACAGCTATAGAATCATGTGTATTTAAAGGAAAGAAGAGGCAGAGAGGAAAATGGCATGATGCCTAGAAAAGGAGATGTCATTTACAGTTGTAAAACTGTAAGCGCTCACATTTGGTTTGGGGAAATAATGACAGCTGGACTTCCCCCTCCCCAGCGTGGTAGAGGTGTGATAAAATCGACGATCACTAAGATCCCTTCTAGCCTCAAAAGTTCTATTCTGATTTTTTGTAAAAATCCTTGAGGTTCACAGTACAGAGATCAAAATCTACCTAAAAACTGTCTATTCCACAAAACAGATAAACATGCTGTGTCTCCCAGGGCCATATCACCACGGTTACAGACAATGACACCTGGTTTACCCAGTGTCCTCAGCACCTGTCTTCCACAAAATCTACATTGGTTTCTGGACTCTTCAAACTGACTTAATAACCTGTGAGTGTTCTGAAGTCACAGTTATATATTCATGAAGTCACATGAATATTGAGGACATCACCATCAATCATAGCTAGAAGTTACTTAGCTTGGACATTCAATCACAACACATGGCCACACATGTGAATGCTTCCTTTTAGGAAAGATATTATTGTAGAATCAACAAAGATTTCAAAAAGAATAAAATACGCATCTTGAGTTAAGTCAAGGATAGAGTCACAGCTTGAGGTTTTAGTAAAAACCCATTTGTTCTAGAAAGTCAAAGATGGCCCTGAAGAGGGGAAACAGCTTTCTCTGGAAGACTGAAATGACAGCAGAAATCAGATTTTATGCACTGGTAGTATTAGACACCTAATACACTGTGGGTGACAGCAAAGACATTTCAAAGTAATTTATTAATTTGTAAAAAAATTCTAAAAAATCAGATGACTGGGACAATTTTGTGTGTCACAGTCTCTTCTCCTTCCATAAGCCCTTAGGGAGATAAACCCACATCAGGGTAGGAGGTGGTTGGAGGTGGGCGTGCCCACTCCTTTAAGAACAGAGAGTCCCTACCTAGTTCCCAGGCTCCTGAAGACACACCCTATGCAGATTCCAATGCTCACTTTTCTTGGAAGAGTTTATCACCTCTCTGTGTTCTAGACTTTGGGACCATAAGCTGCTTGCCTATCTAGGCTTGTACTGATGCTTAGAAAGGTATGGCTTCAGTTTTATAAAATGGCTATGCATGAACTATTAATGTTTGGTTTACTAAAAAAAGTGACCATCTTCATTCAAAAATGTCAAAAAGATGAAGCTGGTTAAGTCCTGTAAAGGTTGCAATGATGGATTCTACTTTCCTTGTAATTTTTCGCAATTCTTAAATGACAGCAGTTAATATTTCATGACCTAGAGGTTTCCACTGCAGGTGCCCTAGTGGCAGGTGTGCTGTGGGGGTCAAGAAACAGGCATGAACAGTCACGGGCATGAACCCGTGACTCGGCCAGAGGGGAATCTGGAAAAGGAGATTGGAGCAAATGCACCATATGGTATACCAAAAACCCTAGACTGTCCTCTCTGCTCCTGCTAGACCTTGCAAGTAACAGGGGCTCTTCTACGTGTGCGTGTGCTGACCTCCAGAGTGTGTGACTTCAGTGGGCAGCCTCTTCATGGGCAGTCACCCTTTCCCAGCACATGCCTGCAGAAAATGGCTAACACACCTTGGACTCAGGCACTGTCCTGGGCTCTGCGCTGTCCCCCCACTGGCTTACAGATCTTTCTTATTACTCTGCCTTTATTAGCTCCCTTCTATTTTTATCTTTGAGATGGAGTCTCACTCTGTACCCTAGGCTGGAGTGCAGTGGCGTGATCCTGACTCACTGCAACTTCTGCCTCCCAGGTCTCAGTTCAAGCAATTCTCCCGCCACAGCCTCCTAAGTAGCTGGGATTACAAGCATGCACCACCACGCCTGGCTAATTTGTGTATTTTTAAATAGAGATGGGGTTTCACCATGTTGGCCAGGCTGGTCTTGAACTCCTGACCTCGTGATCCGCCCACCTCAACCCCTCAAAGTGCTGGGATTACCAGCATGAGCCACCGTGCCTGGCCCTGGCTCCCTTCTTTGACTTCATTTGTTATGCATGCATTCATTTAACACGTATGTTTTGAAAACTCTACCAAGCATCATGTGAGCCACTAGTGAATTAGACACCTGTCCTTTTCCTCATTTCCCTTTTTTTGGAGCCCCGTATGCCATTATAATTATCTGGAAAATGCTGTCCATGAGCTGAATCAATCCCAAGAGTTTTCTTGTCTGTGAAAAGGTGTTGAACACAATTAGACTCTAGTCTCTTGTGTCTCTGCCTGACCTCCTGGGACTGTACCTGCTTCTCCTCTGCTCCTGGGCATCTTATTCCAAACCCAGGTTGGTACCCTGATCCAACTCTCAGGTATTTCTGGAAAACAGATCTGTGGTAGTAATCGGTCATTTTTTTTTTTTTTTTTTTGAGGTGGAGTTTCACTCTTGTTGCCCAGGCTAAAGTGCAATGGTGCAATCTTGGATTACCACAACCTCTGCCTCCCAGGTTCAAGAGAATCTCCTGCTTCAGCCTCCCAAGTAGCTGGGATTACAGGCATGTGCCACCACATCAGGCTAACTTTTTGCATTTTTAGTAGAGACGGTTTTTCCATGTTGGTCAGGCTGGTCTTGAACTCCTGACCTAAGGTGATCCACCTGCCTCAGCCTCCCAAAGTGCTGGTATTACAGCTATGAGCCACTGCACCTGGCCCATGTTTTCATTTCCAATACTTATACTGATTTGTGATTTTACAGGTATGTGCATGATTTCCTCAGTTTACAAAAGCTAGTTAAACCAAGATCAGAATTTCTATTACCCATCATTGCTACCAGACTATTAGGGAGATTAAGATGAAAACACAGGGCCGGGCGCAGTGGCTCAAGCCTGTAATCCCAGCACTTTGGGAGGCCGAGGCGGGTGGATCACGAGGTCAAGAGATCAAGACCATCCTGGTCAACATAGTGAAACCCCGTCTCTACTAAA